ATTTCAAGCTGGCGATTCAAAGACATAATCGTAGGAAAGTCCTAGGTGATCAAATACATGTAAATAGCTTAAGCTATGTTTATTTATAGAAAATTTTACTATCTACTTGTTTATTTCTTGTGGTTTTTCTACACTTCTTTGGTTGGTATTTTCCTTCATTCCGACCATGTTCTTAACCCCTTTCCTTGTACATAGTTCTTCTTTATCTTGTTTTAGTTCCTTTCTTATTTTGTTTTTTTTTCTCTCTTATTGGTTCTTCATCTTCTTATTTTTTTCTCTAGAGAAAAAAAAATACTAAGAAAATAAAGGAAAATACAAAAAAAAAAATAAATACCAAAAAAAGGATAGGCAAAAATAAAAGTAATATAAAAAACGAGAAAATAAAGCAAATAACAAAAGGAAAATAGTAGAAAGAGAAAGAAATAGTGAAATTAAACTAGAAAAGTCAAAGATAGAGGTAGTAGTAACGCACTTGAATTCACGTACACCGATTATTGTTTAGTTTTGTTCTTCATTTTTTGTTTTTTCTTACACTAAGAAGACAATAAAGAACCTAAATTAATAGATTACTGTTTATATTTATCAGCTTTTACAGAATTAGGCTTATAGGATACCTCATCCCCTTTTGCTTTTCCTTCTTTTTTCATTACTTTGTTTATTTTTTGGTTCTATTTTGGTTCCTTTTCTTATTTATTTTGTTTTTCATTACCAAAGTAATGAAAAAAAAATAAAAATGAAGAAGAAGGAAAATACGAGAAATAAAAAGAAAACAACAAAGAACGGAAACTTAAAATTAGTGCTAGTATAGTTTAGTGGTTAGAACATATCCCTCATATGGATATAGCGTAAGTTCAATTCTTACTACTGGCCTCGTTTTGTTTATCATGTGTTCTTCTTCGTTTTCTTTGTAACAAGAATGGAAAAATACAAAAGTACTTTTTTCTTTTTTCTTTCCTTTTCTCTTATTGGTCCTTCATCTTCTTATTTTGTTTTTTGGTTTTATTTTATTTCCTTTTTCTTAGTAGAGAAAAAATAAATACTAAGAAAATAAAGGAAAATACCAAAAGAAATCAATACTAAAAAGAAAAAGTAGAGAAAAACAAAATAAGAAAGCAACCAAAAAAAAGATGAAGAAAATAAAGGAAATACCACAGAAGAACATGGTTAGGTTCTACTTCGACAAAGTAATGAAAAAATTCTTTGTCTTTTCCTTTTTGGTTTTTTTCTTAAAAGAACTAAGAAAAAGAGAAAGAAACTAAGAAAAAGAGAAAGAAACAAAGAAAATATAAGAGTAACTACGGTGTAAATTTTTAGCTAGTAGCTGGAGATACATCTTAGACACTGCCTTTATTGCTCTCATCTTTTTGTATTTTATTCTCATTCATATCTTTTTATATTGTCTTTTTCGTTTTCTTTGTTCCCCTTTTTCATTACTTTGTTCCTTTTTTAAAATAAGAAGATGAAGAACCAATACTTTCGTATTTCTTTCCTTTAAAATAAAAACAAGTTTTTATTTGTTTGTTTTTTTTCTCTCTTATTTATTTTTGTTTTTTTTCTCTAGAGAAAAAAAAAAAGAAATACCAAAAAAAACAAAATACGAACAAATCAATAACAAAATAGGAAAGTGTTTGTATTGTTTTGCCCTATTACTTTCTTTTAGCTTTAGTTACTTTATTGGAAACTAGGTCCCGAGGTAAGAAATAAGAAGATGAAGAAAGAAGAAAATACAAGAACTAAAATTTAATAATGGCTTAGTAGAATAATTATAATATTACAAATGAAATGACAACAACATATATGTTTAATAAAGCTAATCGAAACAATATAGTGTCTATGCAACGACAAGCCACAGCTATTATCAAATCTTTTCCATTTGCTTTATCTGCTTCTAAGTTAGTTGGAAAACCTTTATTTAGTGTAACTCCTGATAAGGTTATTATTCAAGTATTTTATGCGTCTTCTTCGTTGTACAACGATAAAGAACATAATATTTCTAATGATAATATTGCAGCATTGGGAAATGTACTTGCACGATGTTTTAATGAAAAAGAATCGTCTTCTTCTTCTTTTAACAAAAATACTAAAGTAGAACTTCGATTAATTCGTTTAAATCACTCTATTTTAGATACTTCAATTTTTGCTCAGTATTTAAGTTTAAATGGGAGTAAATATTCATTTAACCGAATTATGGATATGCTTAAAGCTAGCTTACCAACAGTTGTATCAGATGGATCAGTGGATGAATCATTATCAACTCCTGTATCACATATTACTGGAGTTAAAGTTAAATTATCAGGTCGTCTAACTACAGAACGTTCTATTCCACGACAAACAGTACAAGCTGGACGTATTGGATCATCAGCTAAAGGTTTATATGGAACAGTAGATTATAGCCAACACACATCTAAGAATAAGTTAGGTGCATTTACGGTGAAAGTATGGATTAGTCAACAAAGCCGTTAATTAGATATCCCCTTTTTTGGTTCCCCCTTTTTCATTTCTTATTTCTCTTTTCCTCATTTTGTTTGTAATTTTCTCTAGTTTTTTTTAAGAAATAAGGAAAAAATAAAGGAAAATACCAAAAAAGAGAGAAAAGTAATGAAAAAAGAAGACCAAGTACCATGAAGGACAAAACCAAAGACAAATACTTCGACAAATAAAGAAAAAGTAGAGTTGATAGTTTATTAGTACTTTACCAAAATTTTGTTAGTAACTTTCTTATATTTATACTATAAAGGGGATGTTATGATGCAGTTTGTGGTGTGTTTTCTGTAGCAATATCAAGAAGTGTGTTCTCGATAATTCCAATTACTGGTACAATTACTAAGAACCAAGCAAAGTAGAATCCTGTAGATAATGCTCCAACTGTAATAAATGGCTCTTCAACGTGTTGGCTACCAACATACATTAAAATGAAGAAGTTTACAGCGAATAACCAGAAGGCCCATCGCATTAATGGTCGGAATTGTGAACCTCGAACTCGAGAAGTATCAACAATTGGCATTGCTAATAGAATTAATAATGATGAGAACATGGCAATCACACCAAGCAATTTGTTAGGAATAGACCGAAGAATTGCATAGTACGGTAGTAGATACCATTCAGGAACAATACTTGGTGGCGTTTGCATTGGGTTAGCTGGAATATAGTTATCACTGTGCCCTAAATAGTTAGGTGCATAGAATACCATTACTCCTAATACTAAGAAGAATAGGAAGAATGTAACAAGATCTTTGAATGTAAAGTATGGGTGGAATGGTAATCGATCAGTGTTACCTGAAACTCCTAGTGGGTTACTACTTCCGTGCTCGTGTAGTGCTAATAAGTGCATTGCAGCTAAAGCAGCTAAGATGAAAGGTAGTAAGTAGTGTAATGAGAAGAATCGGTTAAGTGTAGCGTTGTTTACACTGAATCCTCCCCAAACGAATTGTACGAAATCTTGTCCAATCCATGGGATAGCTGATAATAGGTTAGTAATTACAGTAGCTCCCCATAAGGACATTTGACCATATGGTAGCACATACAACGCCTCTATCTATAAATAGCCATGATTAATATTTATAGTAGTTGTACCTAATCAGTTAACTAGTCCCCGGAAGTCGTTATTTTCCTTTATAGTTAACATCATTTTAGGCCTTGAAAGATTTATACTTAGGCGTCCGACTGTACATTAAGCACCATTTCAGGCACCCACAAGTGACCCAGTCTGTAGCGATTATACATATAACCGACGGTCTTGACTATTAATTTCGTCTTTAACCGTTTTCACTTGTATCGCCAGTCAGTATTTATTTACTGACCAATATCCCTGTCAGGATATTAATGTATTTTATATTAAATTTGGACAAACCAAAATTAATAAACCCTTTATTCTATGTAGATTGCAAGGGGTTAAATACATCGACTATGATTCATTTGCCTCCTTCGGCTGCGCCGAAGGCAGCAGAAATTTGACTAACCATTTACCTTTGATAATACCATCAACATTTAATGCGCGTCGCACTGTTTTTTCGCTACATAAACATTGCTCAGCGACTGCGTTTATAGTACGAAGAACTAGAACTGAAGATCCATTAGAAAACATACTTTTGTCTAAATTTTCTAATGAGTAAATATTTGCCTTAGCTGAATTCTTAGATACTTTATCTCGAACTTCATCAGACATAGGCGGTCGATTTAAAGCAGCTAGACGCACTTTCTCTTCCCCTTTTTTCATAGATGAAAAATAGAGTGGGGGACGTGCTAACTGATAACTGTTTACCTTTGTTGATCGAAGCTACTTGATCTCGTCGTTCTTGAGAATAGTTAGCTCGCATCTTTGCCTTATCTATGTCAGTATGAGTGTACCCTGTATTATTACCAGCGTTAGGAGCAACATTATATACAGGTTTATAACACTTAAGATAACCATCCTCTAGTTCTATGAGTTGTTGATTATTGCTCACAGACTTGATATTAAAGTCTTCAATTAATTCAAGGAGGAAAAAAGAGGAGAAACAAAGGTGCAGTTTGTAGAGCTTTAGCTATATTTTTACTACCGCTTAACCCAAACAAATGTTTATGAAGCCGTTTAGGTAGATTACCTTTAACAGCACTACCGATATAAAACTCGTTAGTCACAAGGTTAACACACATATAAATACCTGCGTAGGGTTTTAATAGTTCAGTGGCTTTAGATTTAGTGCCTTCAAGGTGTAAGTTTTCAAATATTGCTAAAGGTTTAACATTTAGTTGCTTTAAAACTTTAGACAACCGAGGAGAACTAGCTATAGGTAAGGTACTCAAATAGTGAATGTCAATTTCTGCTGCCTTCGGCGCAGCCGAAGGAGACAAATAACCATTTTAGGCTTTTAATTAAACCCAGGAAAGCTGTAGCCATCATTAGTACTAGAATAATAACTCCAATAGACCATAGTAGAGTACGTGGTGCTCGGTATGAACCATAGTATAGCCCACGTGCAATGTGTAAGTAAACAAAGATAAAGAAGAATGAAGCTACGTTAGCGTGTAGGTAACGGATTAACCATCCATAGTGTACATCTCGCATAATGTGCTCTACACTAACGAACGCAAGATCTACGTTAGGAGTATAGTGCATTGCTAATGTGATTCCTGTGATAATTTGGATAATAAGGCAAGCCCCTAGTAATGATCCAAAGTTCCACATGTATGATAGACTAGCCGGTTGTGGTGAATCAACCATATAGCTATTTAATAGACCTAGAATAGGGTGTGATTTAAGTAATCGCATAATTTTAATAAAATGCCATATTATTTAATAAGATAGACTTATCAAATATATGTATCATATCTTACTCCTTCTATTTGTTCTTTTTTTTTCATTCTTATTTCCTTCTCTTCTTTTTTTTCATTACTTTGAAACTAAAAACGACAAAATAGGAAAAGAAAATCAAAATAATAACAAATAAGACAGATATGGGTCAAATACCCATGTGTTATATAATTAGATTTGAGTATTTGTTTTTTTTTTTTTTTCTGTTCTTGCTTTTATTTCTTTGTCTTTATTGGTTCTTCATCTCCTTTTTTTTCTCGTATTTCCTTCATTTTCTTACTATTTACACTTCAGGAAAATAGGAAGATGAAGAACCAATAATGGGTGGAGAACATGGTCGAAGAATGAAAGACCAGGAAAATAAAGAATAAGAATAAAGAAAATACTTTCGTATTTTGTTAGAATAACAAAATAAAAACAAGTTTTTATTTATTTTTTTGGTTCCTTTTTGTATTTTCCTTTAGGAAAATAAGAGAAAAGGAAATAAAAAAACAAAATACCAACCAAAGGCAAAAACTTGGACAAAGAAAGGCAAAGAGGTCAAGTAAAGTTAAATCATGATCAGTTATACTTAATC